AATCTCTAGTAATAATACTCCATAGCTGAATACATCGGATTTCTCTGAAAATAATCCTACCATTGCATATTCAGGGGACATATAGCCACTGCATTCCAACATCAAAACACAAACTTGATTTTTTCAGCACATGAAGCAATATTTCTATAATTTTGGTCTAAGGAGATTCAACTTACTATGTCCCAACGACCCTTCTAGTATTGGCTTCATCCTCATTTCCTCTGAAAATCCTAGCCATTCCAAAGTCCGAAATTTTTGGATTCAACTCTTCATCCAACAAGATGTTACTTGCCTTTAGATCTCTATGAATAATCCGTAGCCTAGAATCCCTATGTAGATAAAGGAGACCTCGGCTAATTCCTTCAATGATATTGAATCGTTTTCTCCAATCTAGGAATTCTTTTCTGATTGGATCTACATCAGTCATATAACCAAAAGATGGAAATTAGAATGAAAAGAACAAAACCAAGTATTATAACTATCAGAAATGAATGCTCTAGTCTAGGCCATTACCCCCTACCAAAAAAATAAAAGGAATGAATGTTTTGGACAGTGAAAATGATATATAGATTGTTATGTTTATGTTCCTGAGGTTTTGGTAAGGAAAAAAAAAAAAAAAAACCTTATTTGCATTCTATAATCAAATTCCAAATGAAAAGGAGGATGAATCATGCTCTAACCAAACAAATAAGTGTCCAAGCTTTTATTTGGCATGAACTCATAGACCAAAATCTTCTCCTCTCGCTCCACACAGCACCCTAGAAGCCTTACGAGATTTCGGTGTTGGAGCTTGGAAATGACAAATACTTCATTCATAAATTCTTCTAATCCTTGTCCTGATGCGCTAGACAGTCTTTTCACTGCTATTTCCTGCCCATTTTGCAATGTTCCCTAGGAAAAAGGAAAAACATGTTAGCACAAATTTTCATTTGACAGAATATGAACTGCTGGAAGCTAACTTTTACCCTGTATACGGGACCAAAACCTCCCTGCCCTAGCTGATTTGTAAGATTAAATTGTTTTGTTGCAGTTGCCAGTTCCTCAAATTTGAACAGTGGTAACTCTTGGAGTTTAACTTCAGTTGTGCTGGTTGTCCTTCTACCAAACAACATTTCTTCACTTTTCTCTTTCCATGCTGAATAGATTAGTAGCAAATGTTGCATTAAGAGTTGCTAAATCATGAATTCTCAAGTTCAAACTCCTAAAACGGTAAAACAGATGAACAATTACATTCGCATACTTGCTACCTTTTCCTTTAGCCACCATCCACCTTCTTACGAACAGTGTGCAGATGCAAAAGATGATGGTTCCTACGATCACTGTTGTTATCATGATTATTAATTTTACATCTTTCTTTTGTCCTGCAAGTAAAAATCAAGAAATAAAAAACTGCCTTTTTAGACAAAACAGAATAGAGAAAAACGAAAATTTTCCATTCCTAACATATTTGTCTATCTTCAAGTTTAAGAATATCATACCAAGTTCTGAGTATGCCAAACGAATGTAAAGATCCATCCCACCACTGGGGAACTTTTGAATGTCAATCAAGGTTCCATTCCATGACATACAGCCTATACCAGCATCATATGCATAAGCAA